CTTACTCATGGGTCGGGTTGGCGGTTTGGATTCGGATTTGACCCCCTTGTCCTTCAGCTTGGCTTTGGGGAAAGCACATTTTTTGACTTAACTCGGTCCCCCATTAGTGCCTTGTACCCTTTTTTCGGGTAGTTTTTCCCTTACTAAAAAAGACTACAGGAAAAGAAGAGAAAAAAAAAGGTACCCTTATTCTATCCTCGGACCTAGTATAGCCTCCAAGCGAATGGGGTGTTTTTGTCTTTGTAGGGCTGGTGTCTCCTTCAACGGCTCTGGCTGAATTATAACGACCTCACACTACCTCACCCCAAATGGTGGTTTATGTGAGGAATAGCCCCCAGCCACCTTACGGCAGGTGGTGAAAAATCATAATTCACCGTTATCCTCAAACAAAGCCTCACAGGCAAATGGCCCGAAGGAAATTGGTCCACTCCAGGTACGTGAGTAGGGAGGGCACCACTTTTACGGACCTTTCCGCCCAAAAACTGGATTCCCCAAAATTCAAACATCACCCATCATTCACAAGTCATAATTTGGGCCCACAAAGTGAGACGTGAGATGGATACACTCCCGCCAGCCCTTTGAGGTTACCGTGGTGAAGCTGAAGAACACCCAGTCCACCGAGTCACAGCTGGCGGCAACCTCAGACCTCAGCTCATGTGGAATCCCCGCTTTGGAGGGACACGCCCTTTGGTCGGGACGCCCGTTTTGTGTTACATGTTATCGCGGCAAGGGCCATCCGCAACTCTCCAGCTGAAAGTAGAGTTTGCCCTTTTCGGAACCCCGTTTAAAGGCGAGCTGATGCCACATGGGGTTGACATGGGTTGACGAGAATGGTTCCCAGCACAAGGAGCCTTGCTTTGGACGAACCAAGTTCCAAGATTGGTCATAAGATTCCAACTTTCCCCCTTCCGCATACCCTCAAGCGTCCACAAACAACAGCCTCCCGGCCTTGCTGACAAGGAAAAACCAACGGACCTTGAGGGGCCGTGCCAGGTGTTCCACATCGATGCGGCGGGCGCGGTCACGGACACGAGCAGCGATGTGACGGAGCCTCCTTTGCAAGGGGGCTGTCGGAATTCGGGTGGAATTCTGGGATCTGTGGTTAAATGATTGTTCAGTTAAGGGTTCACTAAACACGGACCAAAATAAAAAGCAATATGATTGCTTTAGGGCATAACTTGACAGCAATGCAACCTTGATGCGCCACATGCCCTTCCTTGGCTGCTTTTAGGACCTTCAACCACTGAAAGGGCAAAATGCTAGAACTTGTTGTTGCCAAATGGCAGTTTGCTCCACCAAAAAAGGCTCGCCAGAGAGGAGTTTCTCGTCAACATGCCGGGCACTTCCCCCCGAACCGACTTGTTAACCTTTCGGTCGCCTAGTTTTGAACCAGTTTTGCCGAAAGTTCAGAATTTAATTTTCATGTCACTTCAAACCACCAGAAACTGATGATGGGCCCAAGCCAAAACAGGTGCCCTTTTACCTTGCGCGTCATTGGGGGTTAAAGCCAAGGCTCTCATTTCACGCTTGCTGGTTCATAGTTCGCAATCATGCGCTTTGTTTCTCCAAACGGGCTGCTCAAATGATAATATTGGGGCGACGTTCTGTGATACTATGGAAATTCCCTAAAAGGTTTTGTGGGTGCAAGGAAATGTTTGGAGGGCATCTCCCCCCTCGCGAATGATGGGCACTTTGGGTCAAGAAGGTGCAGCCACCTTCTTTTGGTGTGTAGGTGTTGAAGGGTGGTGCAGGTAATTAAGTGTTCATGACTTTCAAGTAGCCTACAAGTGTCCATGGCACCCCCCCCTCCCCCCGTTTTTGCATTCGTTGGCCATTGGCCCATGGTGCCGATCATCTCAACCCCCCTGTCAACGCGAGCTCCTTACCTTGGGTGAATTGTCCCCAAGCAACTTGGATTCAACCATTCAACCGGTCTACATCGGTCTACTCTCAGTGGCCCCAAAAGGCAACCGCCTTTCATTTCCTCGTCCTGGCCATGTGACCAAACCAAGGTTCTCAGAAGGCGATGTTATCACAATGTTACTTGTCCAAAGGAAGCTTTCAATTCAGCCACCCGGCCCAATGCATGCAGGTCGCTTTGCCGCGGGGGCTGGTCGCTTGGCCAGCAAGTGACGGGCGGCGCCCCGGGAGGCAACGGACCCCGCGATTCATGTGGAGTTTAAGTGGGGGCTTTTCAGGGATCTTGTTCCGAATGACTTTCAGGTGCAGACGAGAATCGAGTACTTTTGGCTGGTGCGAAAGCTGAGCAACTGCCAACACGCCCACAATTTTACTATGATTCTTTTTAAGAGACACCGAGCTTCGAAGGATATGCCTGACTGACCAGAAAAAATTAGCCAGACAAGAATCGGAGCCAAGAAGCCTCAATGAGCCCCAGCCACCCCGTTGGGCAGAAGCGGATCATGCTACCTTTGGCTTATCCCCTGCAATTTTCCTTGGAGCCCAAAACAGAGACTGGCCCCCAGCTGCAGTTGAGTCATATCTGGCGTGTGGCATGGTGCAGGTGTTTGCACACGTGTGGTGTGGTGTGGTGCGGTGCGGCGCGGTACGGTGCGGTGCGGTGCGGGTGCGGGTGCGGGTGCGGGTGCCGGTGCGTGTGCGTGTGCGTGTGCGTGTGCGCGTGTGCGTGTGCGTGTGCGTGTGTGTCTGTGTGTCTGTGTGTCTGTGGTGTGTGTGTGTGTGCGCGTGTGCGCGTTGCGCGTGTGCGCGCGACGCCCGCCCGCGTGCGTGCGTGCGCGCGTGCGCGTAAGCGCGCGCGCGTGCGTGCGTGTGCGTTTGCGTTTGCGTTTGCGTTTGCGTTTGCGTTTGCGTTTGCGTTTGCGTTTGCGTTTGCGTTTGCGTTTGCGTTTGCGGTGCGGTGCGTGTGTGCGTGTGTGCGTGTGCGTGTGCGTGTGCGTGTGCGTGTGCGTGTGGGTGTGGGTGTGGGTGTGGGTGTGGGTGTGGGTGTGGGTGTGGGTGTGGGTGTGGGTGTGGGTGTGGGTGTGGGTGTGGGTGTGGGTGTGGGTGTGTGTGTGGTGTGGGGTGTGGGTGTGGGTGTGGGTGTGGGTGTGGGTGTGGTGTGTGGGTGTGGGTGTGTGTGTGTGTGTGTGTGTGTGTGTGTGTGTGTGTGTGTGTGTGTGTGTGTGTGTGTGTGTGTGTGTGTGTGTGTGTGTGTGTGTGTGTGTGTGTGTGTGTGTGTGTGTGTGTGTGTGTGTGTGTGTGTGTGTGTGTGTGTGGGTGTTGTGTGTGTGTGTGTGTGTGTGTGTGTGTGTGTGTGTGTGTGTGTGTGTGTGTGTGTGTGTGTGTGTGTGTGTGTGTGTGTGTGTGTGTGTGTGTGTGTGTGTGTGTGTGTGTGTGTGTGTGTGTGTGTGTGTGTGTGTGTGGGTGTGGGGTGGGGGGGGTGGGTGTTGGGTTGGTGGGTGTGGGTGTGTGTTGTGTGTTGTGTGTTGTGTGTTGTGTGTTGTGTGTTGTGTGTTGTGTGTTGTGTGTTGTGTGTTGTGTGTTGTGTGTTGTGTGGTGTGTGTTGTGTGGTGTGTGGTGTGTGGTGTGTGGTGTGTGGTGTGTGGTGTGTGGTGTGCGTGTGTGCGTGTGTGCGTGTGTGTGCGTGTGTGTGCGTGTGTGTGTGCGTGTGTGTGCGTGTGTGTGTGCGTGTGTGTGTGTGTGTGTGTGTGTGTGCCTGCCTGCCTGCCTGCCTGCCTGCCTGCCTGCCTGCCTGTTTGTTTGTTTGTTTGTTTGTTTGTTTGTTTGTTTGTTTGTTTGTTTGTTTGTGTTGTGTTGTGTGGTGTCGTGTGGTGTGTTGTGTGCAATGGTGTTGTTGTGTTGAGTTGAGTTGAGTTGAGTTGAGTTGAGTTGAGTTGAGTTGAGTTGAGTTGAGTTGAGTTGACTTGCGTGTTGTGTTCAGTTGAGTTGAGTTGCGTGTTGTGTTGTGTTGTGTTGCGTTGTGTTGTGGTGTTGTGTGGTGTTGTGTGGTGTGGTGTGGGGTGTGTGTGTGTGTGTGTGGGTGCGTGTGTGTGTGTGTGTGTGGGTGTGTGTGTGTGTGGTGTGCGTGCGTGCGCTTGTGCTTGTGCGTGTGCTTGTGCTTGTGCTTGAGCTTGTGCGTGTGTTTGTGCTTGTTTGCTTGTTTGTGTGTTTGCTTGCCTGCTTTGCTCGCTCGCTTGATTGCCTGGTTTCCTGCTTGCTTGACTGCTTGCTTGTGTGGTTGTTTGCTTTTTGTGTGCGTGTTTGTTTGCTTGCTTGCTTGCTTGATTGCTTGCTTGCTTGGTTTTTGTTTGCGTGCGTGTTTGTTTGTTTTTTGTTTGCTTGTGGGTTTGTGGGTTTGCTTGTTTGCTTGTTTCTTTCTTTCTTTCTTTCTTTCATTTTTTCTTGTTTCTCTTTTTTCCGTTTCTTTGTTTGTTTTTTGTTTGTTGGCTTGTTTTCTGTGGGTGTGTCTGTTTGTTTGTTTGTTTGTTTGCTTGTTTGTTTGTTTGTGTGTTTGTTTGTTTGTTTGTTTTTTTGTTTGCTTCTTTGCTTGCTTGATTGGTTGCTTGTTTGCTTGCTTGTTTAGTTTGACGTAGTTGTTTGCTTGCTTGGTTGCTTGGTGGCTTGGTGAAGTTTGTTTCTTGTGTTGTTCCTATTTTTCAGTCTTTCTTGCATCCTTTATTCCTCCCTTTTATTCCTTTCTTCTTTCTTTCTTGTGCTTTCTTCCTTTGCGTGTGTGAGTGTGTGTGTGTGTACATATGAACTGTTAACGGCCACCTTTTCAAGATGAGCGGCCCATACAGCTTTGAGATGCAATCCTTTGCAGTTGCAAGGTATCCGATGTTGTCCTTGACAGGCTTTGTTGATTGTATGGGGTTGTCTCAAGGTTGGGGAGCTCCCAGTTCCATTTGGCTTCTCCTGAAACTGACCAGAAAAGAAGGGGCCCTCAAGAAAGACACGTCCATGTCACATGCTATGCACAGCAATACCACTGCGGCAACGCAACTCAGGTCGACGAGCTCCAAACGCAGGCAAACGTCATCATGACTGTCACACAGGTTGTTGAGGCCCGGGTGGCTACTTCCCACCCTCTTGTAGATCGTGGGGGAGGGGAGTGGAGAATTTCACGTCTGGCTTTGTTTTCGTAATAGGGGACCCCACCCCCCCTTCCTCGAGGGGGAGTGGGGTTCTCGGTCGACATTATGCTGGCGGAAACTGCTCAGATCCTAGGCTTGGGGATGAGTGTAAGGTCTATGCACCTCGCCGAGTTTCACGGCATTGTCGTTCTTGGCATTTGCCCCCCTGGTGCAGCAGCACATGCAGTGGGTTGGACCGAGGTCAGGTCAACTCTGAATCCTTATGCCAGCCAGTATTGAATTTCCCTTATTGGAGTCTTGCCATGGGTTACGGGTTATCCCGAACCAAATTGATCAATCCAGACAGGTGAGTTGGATGGAACTGAAGATGGTGGCTGTAACAACCAAGCTACAGACCCCTTCCAGGGTCCTTGCGTGTGCGCTCAGAAACTGTAAAGTTGTCGAAGGGACATGTGAGTCTGTTGCTGGGGGTTGTTCTACACGGGGCAACCAGAGGGAAACCGCTCTCCCATGTTAATGTCCGACACACTCCTGTGCATCAGACAAGCTCGTGTACGTTTGAAGGTTTGAGGTTTTCACCCCGTTCGATGCACTCTCGGAGTGCGAAAGCTGTCCAATCATCCCGCATGTGCCTTGGGTGTTGGGGCGAATTGTTGTGCACCCTGCCTATGGGCTCCATACTGTAAGGGGGACACAACACAAGTTGTTTAAACAATAGTCGTTCAACCAGGCTATGCAAGAAGTCGATCCGCGGCCTCATAAGCGTGGCATTGCTCCCTGCTCAAGATTCTTTGCACCCATTGCCATCCATATCAGACGCCCTATGTGGTAGGATGTTCCAGCAGCTATCCTTTTGAGGCGCTGTTGGGGCAATGTGTCGAAGTTTGGCCCTCCAACCCCTTTGTAACACCTTCCTTGGCTGTTTGTTGGCAAGCACCGAACGGTGTTCAAGCCACCCACCAATGCCTTGTCTTCCCAACATGGTGCCTCTTCCTGTGCGTGCTCAATTCGCCTGAGCAGCATCGGTGTGGTGTTGGGTGTCCCGCCAGGAAGCCTCCGCCGGAATCCCCAACGAGAATGCCCAAAGGGACAAGGCGCCTGGACCGAAATTGAGGCAGAAGCGTGCAGGCATGACAACACAAGCAACCCACGAAAACAACTGAAGCGAGGACCCCTCCAGATATCAACAGGTAGCGTTCCAGAAGTACAAAATGTGCTGCTTACATGCAGGAAAATTCAGGCATGTTCCTTCACATATACCTCCCAAAACGGGTTTTGTTGGGATATTCCTCAAGTAGTCAAACCCAGGGTTGTCCAAGCACTTGTTTGCCTCCGTTCTTGGAAATGGGTCCCCATGCATATCCATGTGCTTCTTCACTTGGGGTTGTTTCATGTTGTTTCCACTTGCTAGGGGCAGTGTCGACTAATTTCTCCCGGTGCAAACGGAGAATGCTGCACCTGGCCCAGTTGATCTTCAACAATCGGGTCCTGGAGTTCTCCTTGATCAAGGAGAGAGCGCGAGAGCTGTCCATGGGGTCCCTGTGATGCCAGGCAACCGGATTCCACCCGTTAAGTGCCCCGTCATTGGGAAGGAATTCATTCCAGGAACTGCCCCCCCCTCCCCCGCCCAAAGTGAAGAATAACTTGTTGGGAACACCGTTCTCCCAGTGGCGTCGCAGATTGGCATGGCAGTTCCCCGAACTTCATGAATCTTCTCAGATTCTTTCCCATCCCCTTGGGATCCGACCCAATGAAGTGAGGCTGGGTCGGCCTCGGACATTTTACATGGCCCCCTTCAACCACAACGAACCTCCCCCCCCCCAACCCCACGCCGAGAGGGGGTGGACAACTCAAAAGCGGAGAGCGGACTCCTCGGAAGTTTTTGTGACGCTCAATGGGGGACAGTTAACTACCTGGAGTCTCCATGACCCTTAAAAAATTGGATCATTACCCAAAATAAAGGGGTCATGACCCCATCTTTTTAGGGTCATGGAGACTCCAGGTACGGCTGTGACGTTCCTCAGGCTTGCTCCGAGCCTCACCAGCAAGCGGGGTAGAACATCGGTGTTGTGGCTTGGGGAAATACATCGGAGCTGGTACCCGGATGGCTTCGAGGGGCCCGGCAGTTCTTTGGAAGCACATGGCTCAGGTAGCTCCAAGCCTTCAGATGCCCAAAGCCCCAGGGTTTTAACGATCGGGTCTTTGTTCAGGTCCCAAGTTGGCCTGGAATTATTTTCCAGGTTTGGTGAGCATGTGAGAAACGAGCACGTTTTAACTACGAAAGACTTCGCTTCGAGCAATCCCCACCCTGGGCTTACGACCGTTACAGCACATTCCTCCGCATCCTACAGACTTCGACTCCAAATTCCCATCGGCCCCTTCCCAATGATATTTTGCCGTGTGTGAATTCAAGCATGGTTTTCGAGTGGCTTGGGGCCTATGACCGCTTTGCATTGAGAGCCTTAATTATCCACCTGTCTGTGTGTCAAATTCCACATGTTTGCGAGCTGATCTCGAGAACTCAAACATCGGTCCCGTCAACAATGGCCAAGCCCCTTCCAAAAAGAAACCCGATGGGGGATTAAACGAAGTTGCTTATTCACAACCCAAAGCAACACAAAAGCATCACCCTTTCCGAGCCTCAGGGTGCACTCAAAGCACGACGGCACCAACATGAAATGTAAACCCAACTGTGCGCCGGGCGGGACATTAAGCAAACCAGACTGGCGAGCTGCTCTGGCGGGATACTGGCGGGATCCACTGGCGAATACTGGCGAGCCGCTCCGGCTCGATACTGGGATACTACGCTGGCCAGCCACTCGCGGGATACTCGGCGGGATCCACTGCCGAGCAGCTCTGGCGATACTGGGCGGGATCCACTGGCCAGCTGCTCTGGCGCGATACTCGGCGGGATCCACTGGCGAGCCGCTCTGGCCGGATACTCGGCGGGATCCACTGGCGAGCCGCTCTGGCCGGATACTCGGCGGGATCCACTGGCGAGCCGCTCTGGCGGAATACTCGGCGGGATCCACTGCCACTGGCGAGCAGCTCTGGCGGGATACTGTCGGGATCCACTGGCGAGCAGCTCTGGCGGGATACTCGGCAAAATCCACTGGCGAGCTGCTCTGGCGGGATGCTCGGCGGGATCCACTGGCGAGCCGCTCTGGCGGGACATATGTTCGCATTGTTTCCTGGGCAAGTGGAAGATTATTGTAGTCAGCTCAACCAGTTTGGGGAGTGCCGGACCTTTTTCCCCACTCGGCCAGGAGGTGGTGGGCGTGGTGGAGGTCATGAACGTCTCTGACCTGACGGAGCCCATCTTGATCCGAAGCTTGGCCACGGCGAGAGCAAAAACCTTGACTGCTACTGGGTTGGATCTTTTGTTTGGTTGAAATCAAGTTGGGTTTTCCACCAAAGCCCCAAAAAGTCAAACATTTTTGCATGGGGATCAGCAGCAACCAAGAAACGCTCGCAGATCTCCAAAGCGAATGGACGTTCTGGCTTTCCTGCGTTTAGTCATGGTCCCAAAAAGGTTAGCCCCGTATTTCTGGGTCTTTTCGGCACCGGAGGATTTGTTTGGAATCGGATGTATGTGGAATATATATATATATATATACCACCGCTATGAGTGGCATCATTTGCACAACCCTGCCTTTGCTTTTCTCACCCTCATCCCGTGCAAGAGTGCCACCTACATCTCGGATGGGTTCGGGGCCCCGGTCACAGGCCTTTAAAGGACCGCAGGTGCCTGGTGGCTCCAAAGGTTGCCATTCGCATGTTACTGTCTCACAAGCGGGCACCTGCTGTTTTCTTTCCAGTGTGGAACTACTTAAGCAGTTCAGAGTAGCCCACATGCTGCAAGAAACTGAAAGGAACCAAAAGAGGATGTTTGTTCCTCGACATTAGCATCCATTTTCCCTTTCTATTTGGTGGATCTCCTACAAAAAACATCGTCCACCCAAATACACGGCCCCTTTTGCAACCAGTGTCACGCGCAGACACCTCCGCTGCCTCTCACCGGTCCGAGGATTCTCAGGCACGAACCCCATCGAGGGGGACAGCTGCGTTCACTTTGACTTCGCCCGGGACTGAAATGGACGCTGCTGAAATGGGTGCGGGCGTCACCCAAGATAAAGGGGGTCATGCCATGTTTAAAGGGCCATGGAGACTCCAGGTTCGATCAAGGGTGTTCGGTCTTCGGTCGATGTACCCTCCCAACTAACATGGAAGCAAACCGGGCCCCTTTCCAAGGAGAAGGAAGTCTTCTGGGGTTGTGCACTTCCATGTTTGGCGGTGGGAGGGTAGTGGGTAGCCATTACAAGATAGTGCCTCACTGAAGGGGGGCTCAGAAGTGAGTTGTAGCCTAGGTTGCCAACAATTTTCTGGTCATGGAAGCTGACAGGAGGGTTTTGGACGACGAAAGCTTTCCTTGTGGGGAAGCCTACCCACTTCCACGATTGAAGGACGGCATCGTGTCCAAATAATAGGGGCACCTCCAAAAAAAATGGTTAACTAAAACACACACACATGTACTTGCAGGACTTCCTTGTCCACTGGTATTTGATCCTGTCATTGTAGACCACTTCATGAGACAGATGACCTCTGGCAGGTGGCTTTCGTTGGTTGTTGGGCTTTGTCCGGCACGCGTTGGTCATATGTATGTTTATGTGTTTGTGTATGCGTATGTTATGTTATGATATGTATGTGATTTTATGGTATGTATGTATGTATGCAATGCATGTAATGTAATGTAACGTAACGTAACGTAATGTAATGTAATGTAATGTAATGTAATGTAATGTAATGTAATGTAATGTATGTAATGTATATATGTATGTATGTAATGTAATGTAATGTAATGTAATGTAATGTAATGTAATGTAATGTAATGTAATGTAATGTAATGTAATGTAATGTAATGTAATGTAATGTAATGTAATGTAATG